TATCGATTAAGAAGGTTCTTAATATTATGGGTTGTAAAGAATTCGAAACTTTATTGTAATTAAAATGGATTCACAATTACTATTCTATAACAATTCAAATAAATATAGTAATTCTGTTAAAGTCTTCAATTCAAATCAGTTCGTTAGTATTTGTTTAATTTCTAATTCAAATGCTTAATTTGTAGAGTTTCTCATTTTTTGCAGTAGGTTATAATATTCATTCATTTTTTTTTTTTCAAGTTAATTTTAACTTCCTCTATCTCAACAATCCACCTTCTTCTACAGCGTGGTTGCATCTTGAAATATTCTGTTGTTTAAGCTGATTTCTTGCAAAGCTTATCTCTAGAAGGATTTGTTCCAATTTGTTCTCTATAATAACAATCCATTCCTTAAATATTATGCATTGAAGAGTAATGAGTTTTTTCCATAAGTTCCATAAATTAACTAAAAATGGGAAACAAATCATAGCAGTCATAGGTAATGGTACACAGTATCTTATTGAATTATTTAAAAAACATATGGGTGTACAATTTGTTTCAGTTAAATATACCACTATACCGCAGAAGATTTCAAAATGACTTCCCAAATGTGATTAATCCCTTTGGTTTTGAATATTTCCGAGGGAAGGCATGTCTGTCGTAAGAGGCGACTAAAATCGCGACCCTATTCAGATACTGTTTGGACTGCGAATGATAGTAAGTTAGTGTCTCCACTTGCCGCACTCGATCGGAGGTGTAAATCTGGTACTATGGGGGTCAGGTGCTCACAGCTTCAGCTTTCCTAACCAACTGAGATTGGCAGTGTCGTGGTGGCCGTGGTTAATACTTAAACTTTTGCGAGAAGAATGATGTTATTTGACTTTCAACCGGCGTGGAGTTGTGTATTCGTACCGGATGCTGTAAATCAGCAGTGGAAGGATGGACCTCGTCCATACCGAGTGGAAAGTTAGGTTTGTCTGTCCGAAATAGGTTTTTCGGAATAGCTAGCTTACCATAAAAATTGTGTTAAACAATAGGGCTATTATATAGGGCCTAAATGAGGCACGTTTTCCCTTAACATATTTTCTCACTGACATCTATCATCCATTATACAAATGATTTCTGCATCATATGTGGGAAGTCAATAAACTTAAAATATATGAAACTTAAGAATAGATCCACGATGGGCATATCCTGAACTTGCAAGCGAAATACTGATAGAAATTGAATTTGAATTCACATGTTGAATAAAATGAATTATGGAATATAGAAAAATATTATCAGATTTGATGCCTTGCTAACTCGGTATTCATTAACTTAATAACTCCATCATTTCATAAAAACAAATTATACGCAAACAAACTAACTTATGGAGTAGTAGTAGAAAATGTTTTGTGCTGCTAATATACATGTTGCTCGAAACAAGTGTATAATAAATGTATATATACAATACTTATATACAAAACAATATTGTTGAAACCATTCAGCATGTATATAAACATAATCATCCAACTGAAACATACTCATGTTGCTAGCATTAATATTCCAATTGGAAGTTCGAAAAAATAATTTTCTCACTCATTCAAATGAAAAACCAGTTTGTTATTATTGTTTTGTTGCGGCTTTATTATTAAATTGAGTTCTCAAGCAACAATGTTGATAATAAAATGAAAATTCTTATACACTGTATTGGAATAGCAAGTCATAGCAATTGTGAGAGCATGAGGCGGCAAAATATTCTGTACACACACCTGTTGATTGTTGCTAAGCAGGAAGTTAATTATTGGACACATTGTAAAAGCGAAAGAAGTGAATGCGTTGAAGTTCTTTTATAAAAAATTCCGGATATAGAGGAACAGTGGATATTCTAAAATTAAATTGATACTTAATGATATATAATAAATAGGTATCAATGATTTTTAATTTTTTTTTTATTAAATCATGGGAAGTGAAGTTTGAAAATTGCGTTATTTTTATGATAATGTTGTCGAATACATAGTTGTTAATTATGAAAAGTCATGAAAAGTCATGAATGCTTTTGAAATCATAATTTATGTAATTGTGTCGCTAAACTAGTGTGATTATCAGACAATAAAACAGCCAATGAACTTTAAAGGTAATACGATACAATGACTCATAGAATGTTAAGTGTGTTCGAAGAATGAGATTCAGTTTCAATACTAATAGCATTGCATCAGAAGAAATCATTTGGATTGTTAAATTCCTTCCACTTCGTCCTCATTTACCTATGGGCCAACTCAGTTTCGATATTTTTGGACATTTATGCGGCATTCAAATGATTTTTTTATATTCGTGTGAATTGTAAAGCCTGGGAATAATATATTTTAAATAGAGATGCTTTAAATGGTAAATTTGGAAAGTTTTATTATCTTTAATGCTCTTATGACATAAAACTTTTTTCTTAGGAGTGATTAAAACTGAATTCATTAAAACTGAATTCAGTTGAAATAAGAAAACAATACACTATAGATATCTATGGTCTATATATATTAATTAGTGCGTATTGATATTCATATAATACGAAATTTAAATGAATTTATAAAAAAGCTGCATACTAAAAAATGTTTATATAATTTCATGCTTATGAAAAAAATAAATTATTGATTTAAATGATTCATATAAAAATATTTAAAAATTTGTTGTATTTGGTTACTGTCATACTTCAGACGCACTCCTTTAAATCAGATTATTTATATTTAAGGGAAGCATTTTTAAAACAAATTTTATAGCATTTCTCCACTATAAATTATATTATTTATATTTAATGGAAATTTAACAAATGTTTAAATATTTTCCCACTACATATCATTTCTGTATTATATTATTATTATTATTAAATAATAGGCTATGAATGCACCTCGACCAAAAAGATCTATTGTGCGCCTAAAGACCCAACTAAAATAATTCTAGTCTATTTATAAATCCCGTAATTGCTGTGGGTTTAATTTTACCTATTTGATTAGAGGCTAAGATTCCGCTTCCAAGGTAGTCGAGTCTATGTCTTGCCACCGTTTGGTAGTTGCATAGAATACGTTCTGATGTTTACTTCTTCTCATGACAGAATCGACAGGAATTACTTTCTACCGCATCTATTATCGTTATGTAGTAATTAATTCTATAGTGTCCTGTAAGAAATTCAGTGCAGATTTTAATATAGTTTCTGCTAAGGTCTGTGTTATATATACATTGTGACCGAAAAGTTTCCGGAAATTTTAAATAAAACGCAAAATTCTTAATCTTCATCAATATTTATTTTATCTCCTTCAAAATATGCTCCATTAGAAGCGATACACAAATGCCAACGTTTCTTCCAATCATCAAAACATTTTTTATAGGCGCTTTCCGGTATGGCTTTGAGTTCCCTCTGCGAATTCTGTTTTACGTCTTCTATGGATTCAAAACGCGTTCCTCTGAGTGGTAATTTGAGGTTGGGAAACAGGAAAAAGTCACACGGTGCAAGATCAGGTGAATACGGTGGCTGTTCGATGGTATTTATTGAATGTTTGGCCTTAAAATCGTTGATAATGTTGAACAAATTGAGGTGAATCGGAACAAGCCGGGCGTTGACACGTCGCATACACAAATTGTCCACCAAAATCAAACGAGCCATCTCACGACCGATGCCTAGCTCTCGTGCTATCTCTCTAACACTCACATGAGGATTTTTGAACACGATTTCCTTTGCCTTTTCAATGTTTTCGTCGGTGGTAGAGGTCGAAGGTCGTCCAGAACGCGGCATGTCTTCGACGGTCGTACGACAGTCCTGAAAGGCTTTGTACCACTCATAAACTTGAGTTTTCGATAAAACTGATTCCCCATAAGCCTTTTGTAGCATTCGCAACGATTCTGCACACGAAATTTCGTTCGAAAAACAAAATTTGATGCAAACTCTTTGTTCAATATTTTTTTCCATTGTTTTTTTCGCAACGCACTACTGAGGTGAACTGGTTTCAACAGCTGCCGTAAACGAACTGTCCGACAGATCGCGCTCATTTTTGGCATAGTAATTAAGGACAGTGCTGCCAAACTACATAAACTTAAAATATCGAAAAATATACAGCGCGCGAATTTTAAATGAGAATTTCCGAAAACTTTTCGGTCACAATGTATGTATCTGATTTATACATATATATCTTGAAATATAATAAAATCTAATTTGCGCAACAAGTTGCAGTATTTCTTTATGTATCTTAGCAATTCTGTGATTAGCTTAATATGGACAATAATGCATATAAACTAAATTCAGCAACAATAGTTGCATAATTATTGTATATATGCTTTATGCATCTCAACATTATTTTCATCAACATAATTTGAACATAAATTAATGTTTATGAACTAAATTCGGCAACATAACAATTTTATTATACATATTTCCACATAATTTTGAAATTTTGAAATGTTTTATAGAAAAGAGATCAACATCTGATAATTAATTTTTTTACTATTTGTATCTTTGTATATCATTGTTATATACATATATAGATATTTATATATATGTATTTTAAATTGTTTAAAATTTAATGTATATATAAAATTTTAAGCAATTTAAAATTTTAAATCCACTGCTTATCTTCATAGCTTTAAATGTTGAGGACTTATATATACAATTTATTTATATCAACAATTTTTTGTCAACATATATTAACACAATGAAAATCAAGTTATAACCATGTTTATATTCACTTTCATTCAACATTATTTATATTGTATCAACATATGACTAACAACACAGCAACGTTGCAATAAAAAGTCACCATAGCAACATTTCATGTTGCTCACAACAATTCTGTAACAAGAAGTCAACAAAACAACATATCATGTTGCTAACTTCAATTTTTTCATAAAAACTCAACAAGACAACATGCTATGTTGCTAGCAACACAACCATCAACATTTTATACAACATTTACTACACATATTTGTGTTGCGTGTGCCTACACAAACGAAATACTCAACATCGAAATTTTTGTATATTCAGTTTTAACGTAAGCAGCGTAGCGTGCAGTACACAGCGCGGCAATTGAGTGGATTGCATTGAAAGATATTAAAACCGTTAAAAGTTACTCACACAGACGCACAGACAAAGCCAACGGTCGGTGGCATTTTAGCCGTTTGCTTGTCGAAACGTGTTTAGTATATTTTCAAATACGAACGCGTCGAGTTCGAGTGAATTTCAATTTGACGTCAGCGACGTGCGGTAAAAAGTCAAGATTAATTTTTATTAAAAAAACAATTACTTTTATAAATTTAAATAAAATTATGAAAATAAATACTTAAAAAAGTATTTTATTGAATTTTTAATGGTTTTAAAATAAATTACGATAACAAAAAACAAATAAATTTTACTACTTTCGCTTAAAAATAAAGAAAACAAAGTGCTTAAAAGATTTTTAGTGGAATTTTACTGAATTTATTCACAGTTTGGCTAAAAGCTAAAATACCAAAAGGAAAAACAAATTTACAAAAAAAATTCAAAAAAAACTGTGGCAGTGTGTCACGCTTGGAATTTTTCACGTGCTGAATTCATTGGTTAGTGTTTGTTTTGTCTGAGTTTCAAATAATTTTTATTTATTTATTTTTTATAAAATATTGCATACAAAAAAAAATAAACGATAACAAAATCCACAATAATAAAGCAGAGCAGCTGTAAGTTGATTTCTGTTTGTTTGTGTTTGTGAGTTATTTTTGCATAAAAACTTGGCTTTTTCAATGCAACTTGAGCCGTTTTTTAGTTGCTCAAATGTGGCTGAGTTTGTTGTTAACAACACAAATCAACAACAAAAATGTATAAAAATTATTAATAAATACAAAAAAAATTATCAGGAACTAATAAAAATACTAGATTTTATTTTGTAGTAAAAAATAACTCTTGAATAATAAAAAATTTAATAGTGATTTTTTTTATTATTTTATTTTTTTAATTTATTATTTAAAAATATTTTCTTTAAAAACATTCCAATGTAGGCGAAATGACGGACTTTGTTTTTTTTTGGACACTATCCAGTAGAAAATATTATAAATATATTATTAATATTTTATTAAAATGAATCGAAGTGTCGAATCCATCTCATAATATTAAAATATTGTTGAATAGTAAATAAAATATTTATTATAATTATTAATAATATAATTAAAAAATTTTAATATTATTTTATTTTTTATATATGTTGTATGATTACAATATTATTCCATTACAATTCTTTTATTTTTATTAATACCTTTACTAAGATATTTTGTATATTATTATTATTTTTGTTTATATATATATATAATTAATATTAATTTTTTATGTAATTAATTTATCTCCCAAACTTATTTTAAATTTCCTACTGTATTAATATTACTTTTATATTTTCCACGATTTTTTTTTTGCATTATTTATTTACAAATATTATTGCTATATTTTAATTATTATTTTATTTTTATCTTGTTGTTACTTCTTTAATATTTTTAGTTTATTATTTAAACAATAATATTTCATTATTATTTCAATAGGCTAGTAAACAATTTCTTATATTTCAGTTTTTTCTACAACCAAAACTAATTTGTTATTAATTTATTTCTAGTTAGTTATTCACAAATATTATTGATATATTATTATTAATGAGTTTTATTAATTCTTTTATAATCAATTTTATTTTATCACAATTTTAATAAGCAATTATTTTTTTTGTATTTGTAAGTTTATATTTTGTTACCAAAATGAATGTTATTTATTTAAAAAATTATAACTAAACTTTTATTATTATATTTTTAATGCTTTCTCATTATTTTTTTTGTACTTTTTTATTTTTTTATTATTTCTTTGTTAATATTTTAATGAGCTTTTAATTATTTATCATTTTTTAGTTTTATTTTTATAACCAATACTAACTGGTTAGTTATTGTTTTATTTCAAGTTATTTATTTATAAGAATTGTTAGAATATGTTTATAATTATTTTATTAATATTTCGTTATTTTTTTTAACTTTCTTATTTTAATTGTCACTTAAGAACTTTTTCAATAAGCTTTTCAGTTATTTTTTATTTCTTATTTGTTATTCAGTCTTTTATTATTTTAGTTTTAGTAATTTATTAAAAAATTAGTGCTATATTTTTATTATTATTTTAGCATATTTTTTTCATTATTTTTAAATTTTTTTTATTTTTAGTTTATTATTACTTAATAGCTGATGGTAAAATATTTTTTATTTATATTTTAGTAAAATATTTAATAACAACTATTTTATAGTTGTTATTTTATATCCATAAATAATAAGTTATTTTAAATCAATAAATTAATCAAGTTATTAAATAAATAAATAATTATTTAATTGCAAGTTTTTTTTTTTTAAATTAAAGTGCTGAAATGACGTTAGTATTAATGTAATTAATTAAAAGTTCAATAAATTTAAATAAATGAAATTTTTGCTAATTTATTTAAATTTATTTTTAAGTGTTTGACTTAAATGCATGAATTAAATTTTTTTTTTTTTTACATAAATTTTTATTCTGAGAATTTCATAAGTGGGTGTAAAATGATAGGCGTCTAAATTATTTAGTTCGATTCACTGCAGTTTGATTCTTGGAATTAATTATTCTTTCTATTGAATAACAAATAGCAAATAACAAATAAATTATAAATTTTTCTGTAGTTTTAGAATCTAATAAATTCTTAAAAAAAATAACCGTTCCAAACATTAATAAATTTTCAAAATTTTTAGCTCTAATTAATTTTTTCCAAAACGCTATGACTAGCAATCTTAAAATGATTTTGCTTAATAATTCTTTCAATTTAATAATTATTTTTCTTAGTATTAGCTTTACTAAGTATTAGCGTATAGTTCGCAAAAGATTACCATATTACAACATATTGTAACATATATGTACATATATAGTACAGTAGAGATTATTAATGCTATTTTATCCAGACTAGCAAAAGCAAAATTCTATATCTCTCAATGTTTTCATTAAATATATATATATTTTTGAAGCTTAGTTTATTTATAAACATATATAAAAAATATAGTAACAAAACTTTTGTGTAATTCCGATACCTCCCTTTAACTGCCTAAGAGAGAAATAACCTGTCAGAATAATTTATTGAAAAACACAAAAAGATATGTATGTAGTTAACAGAAATATAGACTATCAATGCTATCTTTTGCTATCTTTTGTACCACAAATGATCCTAAAACTGTTTTTTTTCCTTGAAGGGAAGATAATTGAGAACGGTACTATACAATTAAGAACAGTTCATGTAAATGCATTTTTATCTTAAGAAATTTATCTAACCCAAAAATTTATTCACCATTATTAATTCTCAAAAATTAATCCAGTGTGTCTAGAGCATCACTGTAAGTTAAAAAGGACAAATAATATAATTTTAGGACATTGTAGAGTTATTAAATGAAATGAAAAAGCATATTCATAGTTTAGTTTAAAAATGTTTCTAGAGAACCTCTACATAAACATTTCAAATGTTAAAATTTCGTTGGTATTTCTCACAAATGTTTAATTTTTTTAATTAATATAAGATAATATGTTTCAATGTTTTTCGTTCTATAGTTTCGTTTTTTAAAAAAAGTTGTATCTTCTAAATCATATTTTATATTTTTTATAAAATAATAATATATATATATATATATATATATATTTATATATGTAGCAATATGATATACGTACTATCGAATCTTAACGTTCTTTAATATCTCATTAGGGAAGAATTTTTGGCAACCTTTTTCAAAGTTTACATGTCATGGTAACATGATAAATCTATTAAAACATTTATTTAGTATTAAAATGTCCGAAATTGCTCTTTGAATATTCTCGCGAACTTTCTCTCTATTCTCTTTACCATATCGGCTGTTACTTTGGAGGCACGGTTGCCACTTATGGTACTTTAGTACCAAAATTGGTACTTTTTTTTCCGTTTGGTACTCTGGTACTCATGTTCAAAAAATGGTACATTTTCGGCGACCCAACTTTATTGTGGATATTGTATTGTTTTATACTTTTTGTACATTTTATATAAATTGTATTTTCTTATAAAAAGACAATAGAAAAATTTTGGACCTTTTTTTACAGAAATGGTACCTTTTTAAACCAATTTTGGTACAGAAAAAAATTTTCAAGTGGCAACCGTGTTTGGAGGTCTCATTTTATAGTTGCATGTCCAATTAAATTTTCATCTTTTAATTAAATCGTCTCTTAATATGTTTTCTGCTGTAGCTCTTCATTTGATATCGTTCTGAGCCAGCAATTATTCAATAAAATTTTTAGGACTCATTTGTTAAATCTACGGATTTATATTCAGATATTTCAGTTGTTGATCTTAAATCATTTACTGCTAAGATATTACTCTTGTTAATATTAATTTGCTGCCCGATATTAGCTGGTACGGTTGCTAGATTGTTTCATATGCTCTTTATTGCATGCAAGCAGGACAATATGACGATGATGGCAAATAGTAATGGGGCTAATACAAAATCCTACTTAATAATACTTTGACATTGGAAAGATTTGCTTACTTGGATTTAGTGTACAAAACATGATATACAATCCATATATTAAAGCTTATTAATGGTTGGTTGTTGCAGTGGCAGGTCATTAGATAACTCCCATCTATCTTAATTAGCGATTTTTCGCTGTTTTGTTACCACATTCTTCGCAAGAACTCCTAGTATAGAAAAGTAGATACTAAATCCATCACGTCAAATTCAGATTATATAATAAGTACTTTATAAAGTACTTTATAAAGTAGTTTGCTAATACTTATAATTTTTTTTGCACTACTTCCGCTTCTAAACCACAAAATACTTCGTAACTTTCATATACATATATGAAAAATAATTTTATACTATGACTTATTTTGTTGGAAAAAAAGATGTTTAAAATTTTTATTTTAAAACCACATTTTAAGGATGCCAAATAATTTCTTATCAGAATGAGTAAACGTAAACGTCTATAAATAATTATTAAATCAGTAAACAAGTTTACAATTTTTAATTTCTTCACATTTCTAAAAGTATTATTTAGTATTTAGCTAATTTTATTTTAATATTAAATAAATTTTATTGCATTAAAACAATTTTGCAATTTTTATAATTACACTTATTTTTTATTAAAATAAGTTAAAATGATTTTTACAGTCCATTTTGATTAAAGAAACTAAATTCTTAATATAATCTGTTATTTTCGATGGACATGTTTTTATCGAACAACAATTACAACAACAAACATTTTTTTATTATTTTTAATTCAAAAATTCAATTAAAAAAAATTATAACGTAAGATATACAAAAATATACAAACTTTAAATTGTTATTAAAAACCTAATTTTCTCCAACCTTGATCTGGGCCAGGAGAAGATCACTGGATCGAAAACTATTCTCCCCATCTGACATTTGGAGATCCTTAATGGTCGACATTTTGGTCTTCATTGGGAAGACGGAATGTCTTATGTTCGGTTAGGGTCTGCTGCAGCACAAAATATCAATCATGGTCAACCTAAATAATTCATATTCAATATAAAACTAAAACTGCATTT